CAATACCCAAATCTATAATATCTTTTCTGTATAATTATAATTACCAAGTTGGCTCAGTTCTGAGTTTGATTCACATATCGTCCATGTCTTTATTTAAGTTCATTAAATGCTTCTGGGCTTACTCTATTCCACACTTTCCCATGTGGTTTGGAGGTAAAGATAATAATAGTCCTCACACCCATCGTGTCTTGGGGGTTGGTGCAGAAGACATAGCAAGATGGTACACTGACAGAAGAGTGGAGCCTTCAAATTCTCTGTTAAATCTGGAAAAATGAATATTAATCTAATATTTGGCTTTGGAAATTATTTGTGTCAGACTTTCACTTCATACCTTGTAGAAAACTTGGACTTTCTTAAAAGAACTGAATAGTTGCATTTTATTGTCCAATTTATTTTATCTTTACTTTTAAGTTCATATCTTTTCTAGGGATTGGAAATAGTATTTTGAACTTTTATTGAGGACCAGAAAAAGATTATATCCTTCTTCTCAGGTGCACCATTTTGGGTTTAAAAATAGGATAATACGATGGTAGAAAAGTATGTTTTCATACTTTCTGTGAGACGTGGCAGGATCAGCTATTCAGCAAGAGTAAGAATTTTTTCCTCCCTTCTAAAGTGGCCCATTTGGGACCAGACTAAAAACACTGATTTGGTTTTTTCTAGAGTGAACTCTCTTTCAAATTCTATAATTAAAAGTTGATCACCTAAAAATCAAAAAATAATGATGAAGTTTTTTTTTTTTCATTGTAATGATGGGTACTGGTTATGTCATTTAAGGCCCTTTGTCTAAAGTGGCATATGTTTGACAGCATAATGTCTGTGATTTTTGCTTATGACAATTAACTATGAGATTACTGAAAAAAATATTTTGAAGTAGTATCATAAGTCCATCAGAAAGAAATGTGTGATTCTGCTAATTGGATTTCCCCTAGTTTATAACCTTTGCCTGCCTTTTCGATCACATTTAAAAGAAGTTGTTATTAAATTTAAAGACTACTTCTAACCATTCTACTGCACAGAATTACATCTGTCTTATTTCAGATATTTCCTGATTTTTGAAACAATGATTCAATTTTATTGTTCTGAATTGTCACTAAATTGTCTAAGAATTGCTATTTTTCTCTGAAATGCAAGAGTGAGAAAAGATTTAAGAACCAAAAGAAGATAAAGAAAACATAAACCATAAGGAAAATATTGTGAAGCAAAAAAATCTCAGTATGAGTACACTTTCTCATAAAAATCAGAATTTAAACTCATGATTTTCTAAGAACAAATACGATTTTCCTGACTTACATATGTAAATATATATGTTTATTGAAAACTGTGGAGTAATTTCATAGTATGAATTACTTTGTAGGAGATATGGTCAGGTTTCCGTATCTGCAGGCTGTACCAACCTGGATCAAAACCATTTTTAAAAATTGTATTTCATACAGCACATGTATAGACTATTTCATTATTCCCTAAATAATACAGGACCACAACTATTTGCGTAGCACCTACACAGTGCTATTTAAAATACCTGAGAGGATGTGTATCAGTTATACACAAATACCAGGCCATTTTGTACGAGAGAGCTGAGGATCCGTGGATTTGGTATTGGAGGGGAGTCCTAGAACCAATGCTCCCGGGATACTAAGGGATGAAGAGAATCCATTTTAAAAGAGTTGTTGTTCACCTATTTGGCCCAAATAGCAATGGCTGTATTTTAGAGGTAGATGAAACATATTAACAAATGAACAAAAACTTGCTTTCTTACACCTTTCATTTTTAATCTACAAAAGATTATGAGTGAAAATGGCAGCCAATTTTAGATGGAAACGATAAGAATATTTGCCCAACTTAAGAGACGTCAGTCACACTGGATGTTTCCTGCTAGAATTATATGTCATTAGGTAAAGTAAATCATTTTAACTTGATTAGCATTTCATAAAAGGAAAGGTTATAGGCTGTGAGACTGTGAATAGGTGTGCTGAATAGATAATGATGTGAAAAATGGGAAGATAGTTGTGTTTAGATACAGAAGTGCAGGCAAGAGTGCAGCTAGTTGATCATTTACTAGAGAAATGTTCTTGTTAGTCCTGTACCCCAAACCACGAATGAGACACATTTTTTTAAGAGGTAAGATTGTGTAAATGCTTTGTACCTAGACCTGATGAAAGTAATTGGTAAACTGCTCAATCAAGTCCCACTTGGAAGTGAATGGGAACCGGAGGATAGAAAATGTAGGCTGGGTAAGTAACCCAACAAGTCAGTGGAGTTCTCTTTACAGAAAGAAACAAAGATAGCAGTAATTAATGACCCTGGCTCTGTGCCAAAAAAGCTTTCTTCTGACAACTCCAACTTAATTAAAACTTAAGACGTTTCAATGGCTTCAGAAGCCCCTGATGGGGGAACTCTTGCAGACTCGTGAGAAAATTTTGTAAATTAAAGGAAAAGATGTGTGCTACCACTAGTGCCATGAGTCTAATCCCTGACAGTCAAAGAATCTATTTTAGCCTGGGCCTTTTCTTTTAAGCAGCTCACACCTGCAGGCTTCCTGGCACTTCCTCTGCACCGGAGAAGGCAGTGGCAGTGTTTTTACGGAAGACCAGACAATAGGAGCCTTGCTGTTCCCTTTGTTTTTGTGCATTGTTCATTAGCCTGTGAGTGTTACGGGCGCACTTGATATGCTTGGCTTGCTGTGGAGCGGAGTATCGGCTGAAAGCGTTCGGTGGCACAGCACAGGGTGA